ACTTGCGAATGAGTTTCAATAAACTGCCATCTCGACCACTCTGACCATCATCAGCACACCTGATTTCGCACATTATCATATTTATTCATTTGGATTGTAAAGCCCCTACCCTTTCAAAATAAGACAGATAGAGGGATTTTGTTCGATCTATGATTGTAGACTTGGGCTAATTAGTCCTCAATTAACTACCCTGGATTTGTGGGACAGTTCTACAGTTACAATTACAAGGAAACCTTAGGTATATAGAAAAAGTAGATTTCGAAGATTCACTTAACATTGATTTTGGAGTATTTTTCATTACTTTTGAAGAAGCGAGTGGAAGGCATTCGTATGTTGGTTCTACCTGTAGGGTCAACATAGGTGGCCAACTTCAAACCCACCTACTTCTTATAGCACAATTTGGTTTACTTATGGATCTCATGTTTTGGTCGCATGTCCTATGCTTTGCTTATATCTTTGCCCACAAGTTAAGTTAAGTGGCTGCGGATGAAGCGTGAAACGGGTGCAATTAAAACCGAACAGCTGCATTTGATCCTACAATTATAGCGTATGTGATTCTGTCTAATTGCACGCGTGTTGTACCTAACTTAACTTATGAGAAAACATCTAGGCAAAGCATATGACATCCAACCAAAACATGATATGCCTAAGTGGAACAAATTGGACTATAAGGAGGTAGGGTTGAAGCCAGCCACCTTTCTTGCCTTCGTGTTTTTGGTAAATTATTGTAAACATGGTGTCCTGCTCTGACGAAAGCTCAGCATGGATTTATCGGGGTCGCAGGGCGGTGCGCCGAGGAGCTATTCGTACAAATCTACAACCACAACTCCAAGGCAAGCCCCTACTGCCTCCGGTGGAGCCAACTTACGAATCCCTCCACTCACCTGTTCAAACAAAATGAAAGATACTCTAACAAGGAAACCTCCAATGAGGGCAGTTTATATGTCTCTCCCACTCGCCTCGTCAAACGCAATGAAAGGTCCGCCAACATAAAGTAATATACAGTAGCAATAAAGACAAGGATGGTGTGGCCTTTTATCGCCGCAATCACTTTTAGCTGTATAGTTTGATTTGACCTCGTTTTCAAAACTTCATCAGGGCGACAGGGAAACCTTATGTAGTCCTGCCTAGTTCTGAGTCCTCTTCCATAGTATTCATGACGATTTCCAACATCAAACCATTAACTTGATACATTTCCAGACGCTTCATTGGCATCCTAGTCAGCATTTTTAGTGAGAGGAGCCATTTTTAGCACAGTTACAATTTTTCAACGTGACGAGTAAAGTGGACCCTGTTGATAAATGTTATGTTCAACCGTTTCACCACCCCCTTTTTTGTCCCAGCTTATATTGCTGCGTCCCTTTCTCTCAACCTCACTTTATATGGCCCATTTATTTATTCATAACCTTGTTGGTGTCTCCTTAAAGTGTGCTACAAAGCATCATAAATAGTATGTCAAAGGATACTGGACTAGATATATTTCATAAGGTCTCGCTTTCATCCCGATAAATATGTGAAAATAAGATCAAACCAACTTTGCAAAATAGTATACTATCTCAAAGGATGCTTAATGGTAATGATGATCATAATCATAATATTGGGAAGCTGAATTAAATTAGATTATCGAATAGACCGGCCTTTATGTCATTTTTTAAAAGTATTGCTTTGTCACCTTGACCACCTTTTTCTATTTTTAAATATTTATTGTACTAAATTAGTGCTTTTGCGTCTTCTGTGATCTCATATTTTTTCCCTCCTTTATGTTCATGCATAAAAAGACGACATTTGGAAGATATTTATGATATCTGTTGGTCTCCTGATTCCCGTGCACTTCTCTCAGGATCCGTTGATCATTCTGCTATTATTTGGACCTTGGAATTCACTAATAGTTCGGGTCAGACTAATATATCTCAGATCGGCAGTGGCAACAGTAATAACATATCAGGGCAAGTTGAAGCCCCTCCACGTCCACACTCCCAAGCCGAGCAGAAGTGTGTGGAAACAAAAATCGAACCTGCTCGGCTGGCTATAGCAGCAGCCGCAGCGCCTGCAGCACTTGTTGCATCTGTTACTGCGCATTCGCCCGCCAGTCTACTATCACAAGCCAATGTAAAAACATTGATTCTTCGTGACCATAAGCACTACGTTCAGGGTGTCGCCTGGGACCCTTTGGGTTTGTATGTAGCCACATTGGGCTCAGATCGTTCTTGCCGAGTGTATCGTGCTGGCACAGCCAATTGTCTTGCACATATCGCTAAAGTTGACAAGCAGCGCCTCTTTCAAGTAAGTCCGAGTTATCTTCGTTTTTTTCATTCAACACGAGCAATTTAATGGGATGTCAACTGGTTTTTTTTATTTCTGATTAATTTTATTCTTTATTGCCTTTATTTTTTATTAGATAATTTTAAATAATGTATTTCGTTTTTTTAACTAAACTATCTGTTTTCCTTAGTTTCATGTTTCTTCTACTCACTTTATTAGGCTGTATGGCGCATATATTAATAACAGGATTACTTGTTCCATTATATATATATATGTCTGTCTGTTTTAACATTTATACGCAGGAATAGTCCTAAATCAGAGTGCTTATATTTACTTTTGTTGTGGCAGCTTGTAGCTTGGTTACTATTTCATAACTAATGTTTATTCAACTGGATGATTTTTCACTGAATTTAACTAATACTAAGAGAATGTTCTGTATTTTCTCAAAGCATTGACTAAGCGTTCTCGTATTTTAGAAACTGTACTCTGGTAACTATATTTTTATTTTTTTGCCTCACCTTTAAAAGGATGATTCTTGGAAATCCTTCTTCCGTCGGCTTTCTTTTAGCCCAGATGGGTTAATATTGGCTTGCCCATCAGGCAATCTTGAATCAGCCCCATTTGCAGGTATCTCGGCCGATCCTACTTATCCTTGTGCTGGGCCTAATGACCTTGGCCTTCTAACTACAAGTTCAGGCCCATCTCTAGTATCCATTTCTACAAACATAGCTGGTGTTATGAGTGACAACGCTGGCCAACAGGTGTCTGCTCTTCCACAACATGCTGCACATCTTTTTCTGCGCGTCAACTTCTCTAGACCCGTGGTTAGCCTTCCCAGTGGGTCTAAGCCAGTGGTGGCTGTGCGTTTCTGTCCTCAACCTTTCACACTTCGTCCTCTCGCAAGTCGCCTTTTTGACTTGCCATATCGCTGGCTATTCTGCTTAGTTCTCGAAGATAGTCTTCTTTTCTACGACACTCAGCAACTGGCACCATTTGCTCAGGTGGGTTTTCCTTATAACTGTTTTTACAAAGTCTAATAATCGAATTTTTTAGAAATTAAATACAAGTTAATTACGTTAATCAAATCAATTTGTGTGTAATTAAAACATATTTAGCATTAAAGCCTTAATTATTATGTCAAAAACAAATATGCTACTTATGAGAAAAACAAATTTACATGTAAACAGTGTTACGAATACAACCACTTTTCTCGCTCAAAACTAGCTTAATTAGACTAATTAGCTCCTTGATGACATGGATAATGATCAAACCATTCTCTCTATATATTATGGTTATAATTCCATACCAACTAACTAAAAATAAGCACTTATTATTCACGACCCATACTTGAACTGAGGAACTATCTATAATAACTAAACAAATCCAGAAGATTTAATCATTTCTGAGTTTGCTATTTCTCACTAAATGTGTTTTCACCAATCAACAAGATATCTATCTTACAGTCCTTTGTAATTTTTAGTTTATTAATTAGGGGTACCTAAGCATTTAAACGTATATAAAATTTATTTATTCAGGCATTAAACATACATAAGAGAAATACAATTTTTTATGAAATAAATTGACCAATTTCTTAATCCAGCCGAAATTTATTTATTTTTTTGGTAAGGTCTTGTGCCTATCCGATATTCATCAAAAAGCCCTATCTTAAACTAAACGCATTTTCAATGTGGTTTGATCTAGCTTCCTCAACTTGGTCATTTTTACAGGGCGATTTAGACAAACCTACCTTTTCCAGAGCCCTGTTCGCTAGTATTCATTATAATTAACAGCGTCGCAGGGTGGACCTGGTATATTCCCAGACGTGTTGAAATCTTCACCATTGAACATTGTAAATCTTAGCACGGATCCACATTTGCTAAAAAGAGATATGCAGACCATCTCTACTAAAAATCACTGGCACATTTATAAATTAACGATTTTAAAATGTATTCTTTTGATCGGATTTAATGAGGTTTAATTACAATCCACACTGAAATTTTGT